TTTTCATTATTATTTTGATTTCTATTTCTATTTTACTAACTTATTTCCTTTCATTTTTATTTCATTTTTATTTCATTTCCATTTTTATCATTTGCATAATTTAAAGAGGTGTTGATCCGTAAAAAGTGTTCGTTAAAACTCAAATAATTTGCATTAATGAACAAAGGGGTTATGATACAAGAGGTGAAAAATGAAGAGGTCCGACTATGGTCAGAGAAGACTCAAAAAAAAGGGGAATAGTCTGTAAAGTAGCTATGTGTCAAATCTGGTTGGCTATGCTTTTTTTAGTCTTAAGCAGAACGATATTCAAAAGTTGCAGAGCATTTGAGACAACTGGAAAAATGACAGGAAACAAAGATTTTGCCAGCGGTACGGTGATATTGCACATCTGCTCTATGTCAAGATTGATTAATCTTTGATTAAAGCCCTAGTGCAATTTTGGAATCCAGGTTACAACTGTTTTACATTCAACCAAGAAGATATGGTGCCCACAATCGAGGAATACACTACTCTATTGCATTATGAATAAGTCAAAATGGATTGGGTCTACACCAAATATATCAAAAGTCAACCTTTCATGAATGGGTTGGCAAAGGTTACAGGGGCAAATAAAAAATGGGTAACTGACCGGATTTAGCACAAAGGCAAGGGAGAAGGAATTGCTTGGACTCACATCAAGCAATTAATGAAGAATCATCCTGATGAATAGAAGGTTATTGACCTTTTTGCATTGGGTATCTATGGCTTGGTTATCTTCTCAAAATCTTTGGGATACATCGAGGCAACTGTGATGGAATTGTTCGAACAACTACCTAAGCAAGTGAACCCTGCACCAGTAATCTTAGTCGAAACTTTCCGTTCACTAAACCATTGCAGAAGTATTGGTGGAGGAAGATTTATAGGGTGTACACAACTTCTTCAGGTTTGGATCCACAGTCATTTCTAGAAGACTGAGGGGATTTATTACCGCCGATTCAGCACCACTTACTCTCCTTTGGAGGAATTCCTTACACAAAAGTGGTGAGAAGACATTCCGAATGAGAAATGGTTAAATGTATTCATGCACCTTCAAGATAAGGACATTGTATGGATAGCCCCTTGGCTGACCCATAATGACATCCTTTACCGATGTGGAGACTCAGGAATCATAATGTTACTTGTGTTATGGGGATGAGTTGGTTATTCTCCACTTTTAGCACTTCGACAGTATGGGGCACGATAATTTGTCCCGGTTACACATGAGATATTTGGATCAGAGTTTGCATACCATGAGGAAAACTACAATAAGAAGGTCAAAGATGTAGATGAGTCATGGAAGAAAATATTTCTCACAGATGTCGTAACTGCTAAAGACATTCTTACTCTAGATTATATAGAATTGAGGAATCTAAGGAAGAATGACACCGTTCCCATACCAGATCATGAGGATACTTGGACCATGGAAGAGCGTCTTAAACCTATTCTTTCTTAATTAGAGATAGGAAAGAAGGAATTCGAAGCTGAAAAGGAAGAACTGAAACAAAAACTAAGAAACTCGAAGCCTAAAATTCTAATAGAAGTTAGATGCCGATATTCAAAAGGATCGAGCAACCAGGCTAGAAAAAGAATAGAAGAAAGTCTACTTTGAGTTGGAAGATTTGAAAATATGGTATCAAGAGCAAATTCAGAACAATTCCATATTAAAAAGGTCTTCCGAGTATTGGAAAGGTGAAGCCAGCAGTCTGAAAAGGAAGATCGAGGGACAAGATGAATGAGAGACACTAAAAGAACAGTTAAAGACTTCCCAAAGACGTTTGTTAGAAAGCCAGCACCAGAACATACGATTGAAAAACAAGGTAATTGATTTGGAAAGGTCCCTTCAAAAGCAACAAGAACATGATGGTAGAATTATAGATGAGTAGGAGGCCATTGTAGACAAGTTTAAGAAGCAAACAAGTGAGCTTCAGATAGTTCCTTTTGATGGAGGACTTCAATGGCGTTTCCATTGGGAACATGCTCAGAAAAAGGTGAAGGCTAGAGATACTCAGAGATCAACAAACCTTACAGGAACATGCTTGCTTTTAAGTCCATGTGCACCGAACGAAAATTTGTGTCTTTTTGTCTTTGCCTTATTTTCGTTACACAATAATGGGCAAAGAGGGGTAGTTGTAGTCACTCATTTTCACCCGGGACTTATTTAGTATATATAATAATATAGTATAGTTTTTAAAAATATTTTTGAAAACATATAATATATAGTTTTTAGAAAACGGTTTTTGAAAGCATATAATATATAGTTTTTTTTTAAAAAAACTGGTTTTTGAAAATATATATAATATGGTTTTGAAAACACATTTTTGAAAACGTATAATATCTATTTTTAAAAACACAATTTTGAAAACGTATAATATATAGTTTTAAAAAACGATTTTTGAAAACGTATTTAATATAGTTTTGAAAACATATTTTGAAAAAATATATATATATATATATATATATATAGTTTTTAAAAACGATTTTTGAAAACATATATAATATATAGTTTTTGAAAACATATAATATAATTTTTGAAAATATAATATATGTTATATAATTTTTATTATATATAATTTTTATTATTATTTATTATTTTATATTATTATTTATTTATTCATTTAATTTTATTTTTTTCAGGTCCAATCCAGGTCCAGAAAGAGTCCAATAGTCTAAATCCAAAGCCCAACTGGGTAGTCTGACCCAGCAAACCTGGTGGGAATCTAGCAAAGGAAGAGAGGGCATGACCCAACCCAAAGCATTAGAGTTTTATAAACCCTAAAATAACATAGGGGCTACACGAGAGAGACCAAGTTGCCGGTAGTGGCATTCGTGGAGGCCATGCACCAGCAAAGTCACCCATCGGCCGAGCTTTTCGGCACCAGAAATTGAGAAAATCGCGAAAAATTGGAGCACGTGATGGAAAAAACAAAAGTCATGCTGAACGGGACTGCACTCTCTCAAAAAACCTAGCAACAACCACCACCTGTGGGGTTATATAAACCCCGAGAACCATCGAAGCAAGGCACAAAAAAACCCGATCCAGGAACAAAAATACCAGGAAACAACAACAATATACATAAAAAAAACGAGGCATCCACAACAAAAAGAGGAAAACATTCAAACGAAAACAAGCATCAAGATATAAGAAAAACCGAGCAAAACATCTCGCAAAACCACGAAAACATCATACACACAAAACAAAGGAGCAGTTCCGATCATGTCTTAGGAGAGAAGCGGTCGTCAGAAGTTAAACATACTCGTTGGAAAAGGTAAACCCGAGACTTTGTATTTTAGATCTACACTGATGGTTTGTTTTTAGGGCGTTTGGGCCTTGATTTTGGGTTCACAAGGTTGAGGGATTTCGAAAGAGGTAAGTCTTTAAGTTTCCGGCCACTAGCAGCGATGAGGCTTCACCGGAGGGTGGTCGGCCATTAGGCCAATTGGTTTGGTTGAGAGAATTTTGAGAGATTAGGGGAGAGTTATTTTTTAAAATGAGTTAAAAATGATTTTTTTGTGTTATAAGGGCTATTTATAGGGAGTACCTTAGTGTAATTATAAATTCTTAAATTATTCTCACGGTCTCTTCAGTTTTGATGTGTAATTCATTTTGGTCACCTGTTGTAAATTTACGTTTGAATTTTGAATTTATTCAATTTAATCCCTATTTAAATTTCTTATATTTTGCAAATTGACCCCTCCTAACTTTTTATTTTTTTCTTGCAGCTCTCAAATAATATCAATTTGGTCCTTAATTTTAAATTTTTTGCAGTTAAATCCTTTTAATTTAAAGTTTTTTTATTTCTTAATTAAATTTTGTTTTGCTTTAAAATTTAACACGGATTTGATTTATATTTTTAGGTCAATTTTAAATTCATCAAAGGTAAGTCAGATCGAATTTTAAATTTTAATTAAATTTTAAATTTTCATAATTAAGACAACCGGGAAACTAAATTGGTACCGAAAGGGAAGTACAAGGGTGTTAATACTTCCTTGACTGTAATCGACTCCCGAATCCAAAAAATTTCTGGTAAAAATGAAGATCAAGTAAAATAATGAATTAAGATATTCGATCAATCTAATTTTAAATGATCGATGTCGACTCTATCACATCAAATTTATGTCGAAGCCCAATTTCGAAGCCACTCTAAGAACGGTTACGACAATTACCCCTTGCTTTTATCTTTTGAACCTACATAATGCATTGGGATTCATTTCCGAATAAATATGTTAAAAAAAATCACCGGTCTCAAAATCAAATGATTAAACATATATAAGAAATTGTGGTTTAAGGTTCGTGATAATATTACCACGATAAAGGTATAGTCAAAACACATTATTCGACAAATATAATATCCGTAATGATCACTATAGCTAGGGATGGAACTAGTAAGACAGTGGGAGGGGATGTGACCCCAATCCAATAATTTTCTTTTATATTTAATTTATATATAAATTTTTAATATTTATGAGATAATTATAAAATTAACTTCCTAATTTTTTTTTAAAAAATATATATTTTACTCCTCAAATTAAAATCTGAACTCCATCCCTAATGATAACACATGTTATTATCATAATTACAATATATATAATATAACCGGAAAATACAACCCAACCGTAATTTAAATATTTGATTACTCCAACACGAGAGTATAAGGTGATGAAGATCTTGCAAACTGAATTTACATCTAATCCAATCCAACACGTAAATATATACATTCCCACCAATAATCTCTAGGAACTTGTTGCTATGTAATCATCAAACCCAGCATCTCAAACAAATAGTTTCTTGATATTTTCCTCCCACTTTCTCAATGCCCAAACAACTTTTATCACTCTAGTCTAATATTGATAACAAGTGGGCCCCTTCCCTAAATTATTTTCTCATATGTTGATTCTTCTTTACCTTATCTTAAAATTCACTCTTCGGACTTCAAAGTCTATACAAAGATTTTAAGAAAAAAATTTACTATAATTCAAAGAATTGTTAAAGAAAAACAATGTCGGACACCGAATCCGAAATACGTGATCACAATCAACAACAAAATAAACCCACAAAATCTTCTTCTTCTTGTATCGTCCTTGCACTATTTTCCGGTTCCTTGAGAATTTTCTTTCGAAACAAACACATTTTCCTCTCAATCTTCATTTTCTTGGCCCTCCCTCTTTCCTTCCTTATCTTCTCCCTTTCTTTCACTTCCCGCCCTCTCAAACGCCACATACTCCACCTCGAATCCGCCGCTCTGCTCACCGCCACGAACTTCGAGTCCGGTCACCTCTTGAACGAGTCCCGTGAAGAATCCATCTCCCTCCTTCGTCTCAAGCTTCTCTATTCCTTTCCTTCCTCCGTTTTCTCTCTTCTATCCTTTATATCCGCCGTTCACGTCGCATCCGTCTCCGCTCCCCAACGTCCTTCCTTCCTCTCCACCGCCTCTGCCATCAGACTCGCTTGGAAGCGCGTAGTTGTCACCTCCATATGCTCCTACTCCCTCTTCTTCCTCTACATCCAACTCCCGCGGCTCTTCGCAACCGCATTGCGGGACTACCCTCGGGTCAGCCTAGCCATCTTGGTGGTCGGATCGGGTCTCGAAGTTTACTTAATGGGAGTGTTGGGTTTAGGCCTGGTGGTGTCGGCGTTGGAGGAGAAGTTCGGGTGGGAAGCGATTTGTATCGGATCGGTTTTAATGGCAGGTCGGAAGTTCTGCTGGTGGCTCGTTACTTGCATGCTGGTGGGTGTGTCGGGATGGATTGGGAATCGGTTTGAGAATTTAACGGACGGTGAGGATTACGTCAAGTCCGGCGTTTGGACGGTGTTCATGGGGTGGAAAACGGCGGCTTTGTTTTGGTTTTACGCCGTGCTGGTTATCTGGAGTTGTATTGTTACCACCATTTTTTACAGCGACTGTAAAAAGGAGCTCAGTGCGGGTGTTAATCAGCGGTCGAGGTATAGTGATATCAGTTGTACAGAGTAAATTTTGTTTTCTTATTCTCTTATTCTCTATCATCTCAGTATTTTTTTTATCTTTCGCAATTATAAATATTTTCCTTCCTTAATACATATATTATTTTTGAGACAGCATTTTACCATCCTCTTTTGGATGGATGAATAAAATTCAATTATTGAAGAAAAAAAAATTAGACTATTATTTTTGTTTTTTATTATTATAAAAATTATAAGATAGTATTTATTTTAAATATTTTAATTATTAATAATACAAACATTTTTTAATATATTTATTTAAACTTAAAATTTATATAAAAATAATTACTTAAAATTTATGAAAAAAATAACAATTACTTTAATCAGTTAATATGTTACTAATTTAACTTTTTACTTTAAAGTAAGATGATGTTTCCCCACTGCCAACCAATGCATTCACCATTTTATTCTGTATAAGGATGTTTACTTCACGGAATTTTGATAGTGTTTTTAAAATTAAAATTATTTGAATATAATATTATTTGATTCATTATTAAAAATATTATTTTATTTTATTTATAATATTTTTTGAAATAAAATTACATGTTTAGATTAAAATTTAAAAGAATAATGGAAGATACTTTTTTATTAATTTATCTTAATAATTTTTTAATATTAAATTAAAAATGCATACTTTAAAATTCATAGGAGTTATTCAAACTAAATTTTATAATAAAATTTTATCATATATTATTAACATAATTAATATATTAAACCATGTTTAAAACATAAATCTATATAAGTAAATTTGTAAATATAAATAGAATGATACAAATTTATATTTAAAGTAACTAAATGAATTTTTATATATTACAAAATTTTAAAAATTAAATGAATCAAATTAGGTGACTTAAATAGAAAAAAAATTAAATTTAATGATAATTTTAAAAAATAATTTATATTTGTATTTTTAACAGAATTAAGAAATAAATAAAACAGTAATTTATATTTTAATAAATAAAATATCTCAAAAAATGCTTGAAAGGATAACTCAATATGAATAAGCATTGTTTTGAAAACCGGATCGGATCGATTGGTTCAACCGGAAATTGTTGTTTAATCCGATTCAATCTACACCGGTTGAACCGTTATTAGTGAACCGATCGGAACCGTTGAACCGTTCAAACCAGAACAGTTGAAAACTGAAAAAAACCGGAAGAAACCAAAAAAAATAATTTATATTTGTATTTTTAACATAATTAAGAAATAAATAAAACAGTAATTTATATTTTAATAAATAAAATATCTCAAAAAATGCTTGAAAGGATAACTCAATATGAATAAGCATTGTTTTGAAAATCGGATCGGACCGATCAGTTCAACCGGAAACTGTTGTCTAATCCGATTCAATCTATACCGATTGAACCGCTATTAGTGAACCGGCCGGAACCGTTGAACCGTTCAAACCGGAACGGCTGAAAACCGGAAAAAATCAGGAAAAATCGGAAAAAATCGCCAATTTTTTTAAAAAAATTAAACCAAACGACGTCGTTTGTTAAACGATCCAAGTCGAAATCGAGTATTGCTGAGCTCGACTCGAACTTGAAAACTTTAAAAGTAAGCTCAACTCGACTCAAACTCACGAGCTAAAAATTATCAAGTTCAACTAGAACTCGAAATATAATATTGAAACTTGAACTCGAAAAGGCTTGAACTCAAAAAAAATTTAGAAGCTCAATTGAAGCCTAAAATTTGAGTTTGATTGAAGTGAAAGAATAGTTCACTTAATGCTCACCAAAAGGCTCCATGATTTTGAATGTCAAATTACCTCTATTATTTATAGAAGTTAGTTGAGATGCTCTTCTATGTTTCTTAGCCATGTGGAATTGTTTTGTTCTCATATTTTTACTCTTTAGACTTTTGGGATGCTCTTCTATGTTTCTTAGCCATGTGAGATTGTTTTTTAAAAAAAAAATTAAACCAAACAATATTATTTTGTTATGATTTTTTTAGCCCCAAATTTATTTTTTAATTATAGTTATATAATTATATTTATTATTTAATATGATTTACCTTAATTATTATGTTGTAGTTAATTTGAATAATTTTATTTCACTTGATTTTATGGTTTTTAACTTATATATGTTATGACTTGCTTTGAATATGACTTATGATATAAAAAATTATTTTTTATTAAATATTTTTGATATTTTTATTTAATTTTTTAAATAATATAACTTCGTCCGATTCTTCCGTCCGATCAAATCGATTCAACCAATTAAACCAATGACCGATAACATGATCGATTCACTAACCAATCCGGAAACCATGTGAATAAGGTACTTTTGTAAGACGATGATGCATTTAATCCGTAACTTTGTCAATCTATCTCAAACATTTAACTCACATTGAATTTGACAGCTTCTTTTCGTAAATAAACTAAACAACAGATAATCAAAATTTTCATAAAGGATCTCACCAATAATATAAATTAGGTCTGATTTACAAATTTATAAAAGGCAAAACGAAATATGTGGGCCCAGTGGGATAAGATTATAACACCCGACCAGAGAACTAAGGAGCCTCCCTAGACTCGATCCGACCAAAACAAAGTTTTATTCGATTTGACCCGAATATATGATTTAAAAATTCAACTTGACTCGACCCGAAATAATAATAAAAAAATCATTTTTATTCAATAAAAATGACTTAATTGAAAAAAATATAGAGGGTATTATTATAATTATTCCTAAATATATAAGGTAAAATTATATTTTTTCCGGATCGCGTTGGGTTAGATCGGGTATTTTTCACTCTAAACCCGAACCCAACCTGACCTGAATAGTACACTTTAAAAACCCGACCCGACCTGAACCCAAATTTTTTTAAAAACAATTCTGACCCGATCGGGTCAGGTCAGGTCCCAACCCGTCGGATTCGGGTTGAGTGCCCATCCCTACCCGTGTTCTTAAAAAGTATGAAAGTTGTTCAAGTTTATTCAGCAAAAGGGTAAAATGTAATTTTAAGATCTCCTGGGGGTTGGTTTCAGGAATTTACCTATTCAATAAGCATAATCCGTTTAAGGATAAATTTCATGTTTAGTTCCTAAATTATCACTTTTATTCTATTTTAGTACATAAACTTTATTTTTTTCAAAATCATACTAACGTTTAATTTATATTTCAATTTGGTACCCTACGTTAAGAATTTAGTGACAGCTATGATGTGAAATAATTTTTTCTTTTCAGATATTTCATGTGTCTATGTTATTAGTGTCGTTAAACTTTTAACAGCGAGTATCAAATTAAAATTCAAATTAAATATTAGATATAATTTTTTGTAGACACTCATTTTCGTCAGTATTTTTAAACGAATTTATATATAAATATACTATATTATTTATAATACATATGTCATATTATTATATTATTTACTAATGTTTTTTTACAAACAATTTCTTTGTGATAGGTCCAACGCCCCAAAGCCCAGATACAATACCTAGCAACCTAGAAGCCTAACAACGGTCCACTGGAGCAACTCGAGACCCGGTCCATCAGTCCAGACCCGAACCGATCCAGACCCGAATCAACTAGGGCTTAAAACCCTAGCTTCTCACCCTTCTTAGCGCTGCAAGCCGCTCAAGCCACCTCCGATTTTCCCGGGGTTTTCTAGGAACCAACATCACCAACAAACAACAAACATTTTAGTTCCATAAGACTCTCAAGCATTTTGGTTTGAATAAAACTCTAAAAATCGAACTAAATATAGCATATTTTAGATTATAAATAAGCATGTAATGACAAAAAATAGGAAAAATACAAGAAAGAAGTAGTGAGAATCGGAGCAAAATTTTTGCAAACTTTAAAAGGAAATATTGAATAAAGAAGGTATTTTTCTTATCTTGTTCGTCTTATTTTTGCTTGCATGTTCCTTTTTCTTTGTTTTCGATTAAAAAAAAACCCAACCGATCGATGATCGGAGGGAAGGGCAACCTAGGAGTTTTCCTCGGATCTAGCCTTCCCCGAGGCCATTTTGTAAAAACCAATCTTTTGAAAAGAGGGGGAAAAGATGTTTCGAATGGTGCAAAAAAAAAAATTGAGCCACCGCCGATGAACGAACGACAGTCGGCGAGGCATTGGACATAGGAATCTGGGTTTAAGGGGCGGCTGTTCTTCGTGCATGAAGAACACGAAGAGCAGTTGAGATGATTTTATTTTATTTTTTTGGTTTCAATTGAAATAAGGAGAAGGGAAAAATGAAATGTTGTTTTTGAATTTTGGCTTATATACTAGACCCGTGACCCGATCCGACTCACCTAGGGGATCAACACGTTTTTGAATAAAAAAGGGTTAATTCCCTTTTTAGCCCCTCAATAGTTTTAAAGATCTATTTTGATCCCTTTATTTTGATTTTACATCGAATTCCTCATTGACCTCCAATTTTGTTTTTCTTCAAATTTAGTCCCTTATTAATATTTTAATATATATTTTTCTTTTTTTTTATTTAATTTAACATAAATATTTATCTATATATATCTATATTTTTTTTACTTTTTTCCTTTTGTTTATTTTCTTTTTTATTATTATTATTTTTTCTTTCCTAACATTTTTATTCATATATATATATTTATTTATTTATTATTTTTTTCCACATTATCTTTCTTTACATAACGTTACTTATATATATATTTTTTACCTTTTTTTTCATTTTTTGTTAAATATATATATTAGTTTTCTTTTCTATTATTATTATTATTTTATTTTATTTTTACAATATTTTATTATATATATATATATTATATTTTTATTATTTTTCTATTATTTTCTTTTTGTTTCTTTTTTATTTTGTTTCAGTTTTATTTAATTGTTTTTTCCTTATTTTATTTTTACCTTATTCTATTTTATTTTTATTTTTATTGTTTTTTTATCTTTTCTTGATATTAGTCTTTTATTTTTTTTCCTTTTTTATTTTATTTTATTTTATTTATTATTTAGCTTTTATATGAGGTTCTTATGTTTTTTATTTTACTTCCTTTCTTATTTGTAGTAATTTTTTACATTTAATTTTGCGATTAGTATTTTCATGTTTATGCATTTTTTTTTATCTTAGTTCGATTCTACACTTTATTACATCTAACACTTTTCTTGACTTTTTAAGGGTATGTTTTTAAATCCATTAAAGGTAAGTAATTTGGATCATATTTTACCTTTTAATTTAACTTATCATTTTCTTAATTAAGACAACTGGAAATCAACTAGTACCGAAAGGGCAGTTTAAGGGTGCTAATCCTTTATTGACTGTAACCGACTCCTGAATCCAAATATTTCTGGTAAAATGCAGATCAAGTAAGATGGTGTCTGATCAACCTAAATATTTTTTAAGTGATCGGTGGTGACTCTAACACATTTATTCAAGTCGAAGCCCAATTCTGGGCCCATCGAAAAGACGACAGCGACAACTTGGCGGCTCCACTGGGGATAGGTAAGTGAATCAGGCTAAAAGTTAATTTTCAGTTCTCTTTTTAATGAAAATGGTAAGTTCAAATTTTAAAGTAACTTTTTCGATCCTTATTATTTACTTTTGATTATCTTTTCAAATAAATAGTTGTGCTGACGATTTCTTTCAATGATTTCAGCCTTTTAAGCTTTTCATCTAAGGCTTTATACCCGAGCTTCGAACCCCTTTTATATGGGGGTGAAAGTGACGCCTTCGTGGGAATTTATTCTCCGTATGGGCCTAGCAAGTAACCTTCGGGATTCATATACCTTATGTCTTCGTGTGAATTTATTCACCGTGCGGCCATAAGGGAATGTATCCTCTCGAGTTTAACTTAGTCCACAAAAGCTTGTAATGGGCTTAGAACTAAGTGTCTAGCAAGCCCAAGGGGTCACCAGCAAGGAGAACTCGGGTACCTTCTTTAGAACCTAAATCGGGAGACTACAAAGAATTATAACCTACCCCGAAACCTCATTTCAAATCCTAGGCTGCTTTGAGATTATTTCCTGCTTTATTTTCTGTTCAAAGCATGTGAACTATAAATTTATGCGGTTAGGACTGGTTCAAAATTAACATATAGGATAGAGATCATGTCCGAGTAGGAATAATAAGCATGTGGGGTAGATATCATGTGGGGTAAGACTTTTTATTGTTTTGATTTATCTCTCTTTTCATTTTTGTTCTCTTTTATTTTTATCATTTACATCATTTAAAAGAGGTGTTGATCCACCAAAAACGTGTTCGTTAAAAGTAAATAATGTGCATTAATGGACAAAGGGGTTATAATACAAGAGATGAAAAGCTCAGAAGTCCGACTATGATCATAAAAGACTCAGAATGAATCAGGTTTATACCAAGCACATCAAAAGTCAGCCTTTCCAAAATGGGTTGGTAAAAGCTGCAGGGGTAAGACGAGAAAAAGGTTACTGGCCTGGGGAGTCCCTTTAAAGACAAAGAGAACAAGATGGCAAAACGATAGTTGAAACTGAAGACCATTGTTGATGAATTCAAGAAACAAGTAGATAAACTTCGGATAGTTCCTATCGATGGAGGTTTTCAATGGCGTTTTTGTTGGGAGCAGGCTCAGCAGAGAGTGAAAGACGAAGATACAGTCATTCGAGACTTTTTGGGGCAAACAGCTCGTCACTTGCACATTTTAGCCAGAAAAGCTGGAGCGATTGGACAGGTTATTCAATCGGTGACAGAAGAAGGCAGAAGACGAGTCAATATGTTAGAAGCTGTTCGGGGTCTAAAAGACTTAGTGATTTTTTATCTCTTACGAAATAACATTTTTTTCCTAATAAGAATTATTTATAATAACATACGTGTTTTTGGATCAATGCCTCAAACATTTCATGCATCATGCATTTAGACATTTTGCATTTTGTTATTTTTATTTCTTTACATTCACATCAACTAATAGAAGATGTCTCATAAAAAAAAGGAACAACTACTGGATATACCACCTCAAGCATTAGACACACCCCATCCACATAACACCCACTCAAAAAAGAAGAAGATGGAAGCCAAAATCGCTCAACTCAAAGAGAACATACTGAGGTTGTAAAAAGAGTTAGAAGAAAAGATAAGCAAGGATAATCAGAGTACTCTGGATATAATGTGCCCTTGATCGATCAGATTGTGGCCAAGTTATATGGCCTCCATCAAGAAAGTGCACCTAGAGCAAGTTCTTAGGAAAGGGTAGCTATGCCACCTACCCCGCAGGTGGTTATATCACCTGGAATCTTACCTGAACTTCAAGGGGGCTCATCCGCTGTAAAGGTGAAAACCCCATATGCTGCAAAGATACAAACTATTATATCTAACCCTAAGAATAATTCAGGTTATTATCATATACCAAATTTCGATGAAGAGGACGACAAGGAAAAAAATGGAGGAGAAAATCAAACATTTAGAAGACCAAATGAAGGTAGTTAAAGGAGACTATGACTACTATGGAGTCGATGCCGCGAAACTCAGTCTAGTCCCAGAAAAGTACCCATAATTTAAAAAGTTTGATGGGAACAGTTTCCCATCAGCCCACATCACCATGTTATACCGAAAGATGACAGGATATGTAGGAAACGACCAACTCCTAATCCATTGCTTCCAAGAGAGTTTGTCGGGCTCAACCATCAGGTGGTACAATCAGCTAAGCCGGTCCCATATAATGACTTGGAAGTATTTATTCAGGTCATTTTTGGAACAATACAACACGTCAATGAGATAAGGCTAGATCGAGTTATGCTACAAAGCATGTAGAATAAGCATAATGAAAGTTTAAGGCAATACACACATGAATAGAGGGATTTAGCTATGCAAGTTTATTCACCCTTGGATGAAAAGGAAACTAGGAAGCTCTTCATACAAACACTGAAGGCTCATTACTTCGGGCACCTGGTTGCAATCACATCCGGTAATTTTTAGGACTTACTCATGGAAAGGAGATGGTAGAAACGACCATAAAGTAAGGCAAGATTAAGGATGGGGAGGCCAGTAAGAAACTTCCTATAAAGGAGAATGATAGAGAGATTAACAACATCAACACCTACCAAACCAATAAAGGTGTTACAATCTCCAACCCAAAATCAACTGTAACTGTATTGTCAGGTACTTCTAGACAAGATTCCAGAGAACCTAGGAAGGAAAGGGAACATTTTGACCCTATTTCCATGACCTACAAAGAGCTTTACCAATAACTTTTTGACACCCACGTAGTGTCACCATATCTGGTGGAACCCATGAAGTCCCCATACCCCAGGTGATATGATAAAAATGCTCATTATGAATATCACGGCGGTGTCCCAGGGCACACTGTTGAGAACTGTTACGCATTCAAGAGGATCATGCAGAAGATGCGTAACAAGAACTGGATCGACTTCAATAACTCGGGGACATCCAAAGGAGGAGGAAGATCATTTCATCATTTGCATCATTTTGTTTGAATTTGTTTTTCATCTTTTTTCAAGTTTTTTTGTAAGGACATTTAAATAAATTTATGTTACTTTAAAGATGGCGAGCAATGAATCAAATTTGTAAACTTGAAATTCTTTGAATATCAACTGAATTAAAAAACTCTATAAATGATTCAGAGTTATAGATCTTTGACAAAGTGACATGATTTAAAAGTGGTAAAACAAGGACTTTGACCTTACCCCAGAGGATATGCTCAAACACAGTACCCTTATCGTGTAAATAATCGATATAGCCTTCTTCTTTCATAAGGAAATGAATAAGAGGTTTGGTATTTAGGTATGCATAGGAACAGACAATATGGGGCATCTTTTGCATATATCATTACTATATTTTTGTTTAAGACGTTCAATGATGAAATAATCTTCACAGATAGAATTGTCGAGTAGGTGAATCTAATTTAGGCTAGTTGCCTGGAAATTAAACTCTAAAAGATGAAATTTTTGACTTTAAAAAACACCTATACTATAATAGGTTCTTCTTGACAATCTTAAGGAATTGAATCCGTAAAGCTGAGCTATTCCACTAAGGCAATTGGTTATAGAGGAAACTCGAAAGCCCTGGATTTATGAATAGATTGCATTCAAACCATGACATTGCTTTGACACTTGACAATTCAGTGTTTACTCCACTGCAATCGTCAGGCAAAAGACTTTATGATGAGATGAACCCTTCAGTTAACCTGATAAAAGTGATTATAATATTGAGATGTCATTCTAAAGCAATTGGTTAAACACCCCATCTTTATGGGTAGGAATCAACTAGCCAAACAATGGCAAATTAAATCAAATTTATCTAAATAAGGAGTTTTGGTAAAGATGGACTAAGGGAGTTAAGGAACACCTGTTATAGTCAATTTCACACGAGTACTCAGGAATTTCATTTTTAAACTGATATTTTTGTACTGCCTTTGTTAAAGGAGCCTATGAAGCTTGAACAAAAAGAAGATTTCAGAGGACCGAAATAGAAGGTCTAGTAATTGATTATGCCAGTTGCGTCATTTTGTCCACATCCGATTAAAATGGCAAGCCGAGAAAGAGGGACATGTAATGATGTTAAAAAAATGACATTTTTGGTAGCCAAAACCTTAAGAAATAGGAAACCAACCTGAAACCAACTCATTAACTTGGATATTTGTCAAAGAGCTATAACTCTGAAAGCATTAAAGAGTTATTGATTCTTTTGATTTTCTGTGAACTCATGTTTATGATTTGATTCGATTGTGAGCCTGAATTAAGGGGCAATGTTTTACAGAATTCTTATATTCTCATATCTTTTTTCCCTCCTATAATAAGAGAAAGGAGAAAAACATTTTCAAACAGGACAGTCTCAAATATGAAAGGCTGCAACCCAAGAAGAAAATGGGGTATGGTCGATTCCGAGTACGAGACAGACAGACAAAATGAGGCTCCATCCAAAAGATAAAACAGAACTAATTCATGTTGCATGCATCTTAGACATACTTAAAAGCATCACATTTATCATTTTTTAGCATACATAATTTTTTGTAGCTTTTAGAGTCAAGTTTCAACTTCAAGACAAAAGATACTCGATTCAAAAGCACCTTCAGAAATTGATGGTGGTTGCTTGACTCAGCAGCAAAGAGCTATACCTCAACCAATTTGACCTATTAAAAGATCGATAGATCTTGGAATCAAATTTAGACGAGTTCGAGAACCAATTCAGAACGGATCCAGTTCAGCTTAACTTAACGAAAAGTGGATATCTTTCAGTTAACGTCTTCAAGCCAGACTTC